GGGGAGGACAGTGGAGGGGAGGAGAGGGGAGGGCAGTGGAGGGGAGGGGAAGGGAGGGCAGTGGAGGGGAGGGGAGGAGAGGAGAGGGGAGGGAAGTGGAGGGGAGGGGAGGGGAGGGGAGGAGAGAGAAACAGAGGGAAAAAATTTCAACGGAAGACTGTACTATGAAGAAAGTTTTGGAACTGTTCTAGCCGGATTTTCACCTTATTTAATGCCACAGCTAAATGCTTTCTCCCCCAAATCTTTAAATTAAAAAATTAAAGAGGCAAAACAAAGTTCTGAACCAGGAGGGCAGAAAGGAGAGGGAGATATGGGGACAGGAGCCTGGAGAAGGGCCGGGGGCTTCGAGGGTACCCTCATTCACTCCCCAGGCCACCTCTATTAGAAAGGAGAAAACCAAACACAGCCAGTGTACCCCAGTTTCCCATCTAGGACTCTGAGAAGAGATGCCGCACAGGGTAAGCACAGAATCAGGAAGGACCTAGTTTGGCTCCCGTAGTTGCCTCAGCTCCTGTGTGCCATGTGGAGGCAGCACTGTCAGCAGAAGCGACTGCCTGATGAGCCTCTAGGACTGGAGAAAGGTGACCAGGCCAGGGACTAAAGCCACGTGGCGGGCAAACCTCAGGAGCAGAGAAATGGGGGGCAGTGGCCCTGGGTCAGCAGGGAGAAGCCCCAGGCCTGACCAATAAGGAAGACACATCAAGTGCAGCAGCTGGTGCCAGAGGCTCCACTGCCCCAGAGGCCTCACCGGGGGACAGACGTGCAGGCGCACACACACATTCATCTTGTCTACGTGATAGATTTATTCTGTAAGACCTAACCCTAGCCTCTGAGAAGACTCCCCAGCCCCTCAGGCCAAGATGATCGCTCACTATCTTGCCTCCACTGCATCTTGTCTGCTCTGTGGTAGGACTCATCAGGTATTCATATTTGACTTTCCTTCCCCGCTAGACTGTAAACTATCCTTCTTCATAACTGCATCCCAGCTGTAATGATAGCACCTGGCTAAGCGTAGGTACTCAAAGCTTTATTTGTCTGTCAAATTAATTTATAGAAATGGACATAACAGAACCTTTCTACTGGGGGGGGGGGAAGTGCTTTTGGTAAGACCTACTTTATGCCAGGCTCTGTAACACGCACTTTGGTATACACAATCTCATTTGATCCACTCCCCAACCTGCAGAGTAAGTGTTACCTTGTCCTTGTATGAATGAGCCCTTTGAGGCTCTGAGGGGATGAAGGGACTCCCCCAAGAACATATAACGAGGAAGTAAAAGGTTCAGGTTAAAATCCATGTCTTCCAGCTCCAACAGGAAGACTCCACAATATCAAAGGTTCTAAATAGCTTCCCACACCGCACTCTACTAGGGTAGAAAGGTTGATATACACTAAAAAATAACACATGTAAACTATGGTTTATACTTTATCTTTAATGTCTCTTCATATGATTATAATTTAATAGCATCAATTCACATTAGTCACTTACATTTTCTGTCCTCGTGGGTGGCCGATAGAGGAAGGAGGAGTCTGGAAGGCATGGTGCTAATATCCCCCACCTTGTCACAGGCAGCCGAGATCTTACAATAGTTACTGGGTCTCCATGAGACTGTGATCAAACAAAGAATAAATGTTGTCGGAATCAACTGTGAGGCCACAGCTGCACAGAGTAAGGACTGGAGGGTGACCTCAACAAAACCAAGTGAAGTGTTTTAATGATGGAAACATTTTTCAACGAGATGAGCTTTTCCCAGGCCCTACTGGGTGTTTCTCTGAGTGATCATGGTGAGTCACAGGTTTGACAAAGCTTTCCCCCACAACTCTGAGGCATTAGGAGGTTGTCAGAAAACTCACACTTGTGGTGGAGATCTGTTTTTGAAGTTGTACAGAATTACCAATTAATGAGTTCTCGTATTACTCTTTTATAGCTGGTGCATCTGGATGAGACTCAACCACAAAGGGGCCCAGGTTTGTACACCATTAATTCCAACTTCCAGCGATATATCTGGCCTCACTGTTGCCTACTCTATTTGCCTTTGTATTCTGGAGACCTGATAACTCCAATTAATAGGATGATGAGCCAAAGCTTTAATTCTTTTCAAGTAGCTCTTTCTTTAATTACTGCAGATGCCCCAGAGCCTCTAAGCAGGGCTATAAAGGACTTGGGTTGTCAGCCTATGATAAGCTGCACAAGGCAAGTGCCCATGTGCCAAGCCATAGACACACATGGAACTGCAGAATGGATGACAAATTCTACAAAGTATTTTATTGGTAGTAAACACACACTCAGAAAAGAAAGACAGTTGGTCAATAAATAACATTCAAAGGGTCATCTTGGCAGCTGGCAGGTAATAGATGCTCTTAAAATATTTCCCAAATAATGCTCTTAACAGACCTTCTACCATGACATCAGCTATAGTATTCTTCAACTTGCTTCTCACCTGATATAGATTTAATTTTATTCAGGATAATTTTTAAATTTGCCTAAAAATGCAAAACATAACAAATAGCCATATTCCTGCCAGTCATAATTAATCAGCGTTAATAGTTTGTCACATTTAAGACTCTTAATAAAAGAAATAAATAACATTTATTGGAATACCACGTATTCCAAGTTCTTTACTTACATATAGTAATTTGAGTAAATCTTTAAAAAATGACTATGAGGTAGGGTAGTTATTACCTCAATTTAAAAACTTTTTTAAACGTTTATTTTTGAGAGAGAGAGAGAGAGAGAGAGAGACAAAGCATGAGTGGGGCAGTGGCAGAGAGAGAGGGAGGCAGAATCTGAAGCAGCTCCAGGCTCCGAGCTGACAGCACAGAGCCTGACGTGGGGCTCATACCCACAAACCATGAAACCATGACCTGAGCCCAAGTCAGACACTTAATTAACTGAGCCACCCAGGTGCTCTATCTCAATTTTACGAGAAGAAACTAAGATATAGCATTCTAAGCTTGTGCCAAGTCATACAGATTTAAAAGGCTGTATGTTTGCTAGGGCTGCCATAACAAAGTACAAAAGGTGGTGTGCCTTAAGCCACAGAAATTTATTTTCTCGTAGTTCTGGAAGCTAGAAATCTGAGATCAAGGTGTCAACAGCATTTCTTCTCAGGTTTTTCTCCTTGGCTCATAGACACCTGCCTTCTCCCTGTATCTTCACAAAGTCTTCCCTCTGTGCATATCTGCATCTTAATTTCCTCTTCTTATAGGAGCACCCGTCATATTTAAACTTATCAGCATGTTTGATTCATCTCCTTGGCCAGGATTTCCTGCGTTTGGGTTCATTTTCCTTGTTGCTAAAGCGCGTGTATGAGCATTTCTTTCAGTGAGGGCCTGAGGGTAGGAAAGGGCTCCATCTGTGTATATCTGGAAACGTCGTCATCACTCGTACTTGATATAATTTTAGGTTCAAGTTATTTTCCCTCTGTGCTTTAAGATAGGATCCCATTATCTCCTAACATCTACTGTCCCTAGTAATTAACTCCTATCATTCTACTTGTCATATGTTTTCAACTTTGAAAGTAACCTAGTTTTCCCCTTTTGTATCTTTAAGTCTTTTCCTTTTTTTTTCTTTAAAGTTCTACAGTTTTATTACGACACATCTAGATGTGAATTTGATTCTATTTACCCTGCTTGAAACAAGTATCTTTCTTCCATTCGAGAAAACTCTCAGTCATTACCTCTTCAAATACTTTCTCTTATATTCTTTTCATTCTGTCCTTCTAAGTCTCTAATAGAAAAAGTTATAGCTGTTCATTGTACCTTCAATATCTTCCATGTCTCTTAACTTATCTTCATTTTCTCTAACTCCTCATCTCAGTAGTAAGTTCCAGGCGATTGGCCCAACTCTGTTATCTACTCTACTTCACTAGTTCTGTCTATCCCTGTATCTAGATTATCATTTAGCCTATAAAGCACACATTTCCTTCAAAGGCACAAGTTCTTTCAAAAATCCTCACTGGCCAGCATTCTGTGACAGCTAGCATTCATTTCAAAGGGCTTTGTTCATAAAGCCCATAACACTGTAGTGAAATGATGTCCCCAAATGCAACAACAGTCAAAAGTCCAAAACCTGTCGTTCATAGATTATCTACTGTATGCATTGCATTCACAGAGAATCTGTACTGAGAACGGCAATACAGTCAAGCAATGTGTTTCCAGAAATGGTAATGAAGTGCAGCCAAAATAGAGATAATTATTTTAATTAATGGTAATGATTTTAACGGTTGAACATTTTAACTAATTAATTATGATTGATTGCTTGTTACTAATCAGGAATATGATTTGAAGTTGT